CGCAAATGGCTACCATATTGAAAAATATACTATTTTTGTATGATAATTATGGGTTTTGTATTTTATTTTAATAGAAGTTGATGTTGCTTTTGCAATTATCCATCAATTTTTTAAAATTAAACACTATCTACAGATTTGCATCGAAGCGTTTCTTATGATAGTGATTTTAATCACTGTCAGATTAAATCTATACTGGACCCTACTATGCAATGTCTCCACTATGCCACGACCCCACTGTGCTACCGTTTTTTTATTTAATATTGTTATCAAAGTAACAATTTTATAAAATAAAATGATAAAAGATAGCAGTTGGTTGTCGGCACAAATAACAATTGTACGTGTGCGTTTTGTAATAAATAACGAGAGGATGTGTTCGATGATATATACAAATCATGTACATACTTCCTTTTTATGACGTACTTATCGCTTTATTCTGTTGTCGGCTTTACAACTACGAATTTCCAATTACATTTAGATAAAAGTTAATTATTATCGATTCAACAAGTTTGTCTAGTCATTTGCTTTTTCAATATGTGCACGGATCGTGTTATCATCTTAGGAGGTAATACAACCCTTAAAATGTTCAAAATTAATTACACTTTACTATATTTTCTAATTATTCACAGGCTGTGGTTTTATCGGACGTCACATTGTTAAATATTTAGTTGACAATAATTTGGTTACAGCTATAAGAGTTGTAGACAAGGTACCACCACAAATAGCTTGGATGAATAACACTCATAAAAAAGCTTTTGAATCACCACTGGTTGAATTTTGTAGTGCTAACCTAATACACCAAAGTAATTTTGCTCCATCAATGTAATAATTAATTATTTAAATATATACAAAAGAAAATGTTAGTTAAGTATTGTAGGAGGTAGGAAGACTGATTCCCTTGGCATAACTAAGTCTTATTTAAAAATTATTGTTGGAATAAATATTCTTAAATATATTTTCATAACAAGATATTACTGTATAAATATTTTTTTTTATCTAAGATAATTAGAAAAAAACATTTACTAATGTACTTTCATTTTCTTGAACAGAAAATATTAGAAAAATATTAATATTTGTGACAAATACTAAAATGAAAAAAGAATAACTAAATGAAATTTACTTAAAATAATGTAATAATAATAATTAAGGGTAAATTTCAAACAATCATGAATTATGAATAAAAAAATTTATCAATTTGTATTTATTAATTATGCGATTTTTTTTCTAGTATACATGTTTATTGGGTCTTGTTTCTTCTATGGTATTTTATCTCTTTGTTATTTTCCCCAAATATTTTGTAATGGTATATTGAAAATTTTTTAATAGAGAAAGGTTATACAACATATAGTATCCTACTGATTTAAATCAAGGACTATATTTATTTGTTTCATCACCTCACTTTAGAAATAAATATTATGTCCATTGAAGTCATGGCTCTTGTAGATACCAATTATGTAACTAGTTATATTACCATAATCATTTTATCCCTCGATGTTTTCATTAATTTACATATTTTTGAATTAACATTTTAGGTTCTTGTGAAAATGCATTAAATGGATCTTTTGATTATGTTATTAATTGTGCTGGAGAAACTCGAGTAGATTTACCTGATGCAATCTATGAAGAAAGTATTCTTAAACTTAGCATGAACTGTGCTAATGCAGCAGCAAAATTTGGTATCAAACGTTATATAGAAATATCTAGTGGTCAATTCACCACAAACCATAAAGGACCATATAAAGAAGATGAAAAAGCTACACCTATAACTTCTATTGCAAAGTATAAATATTTAGTTGAAGATAAATTAAAAGATGTTTTGGGCTTAAATTATACAATTGTACGCCCTGCTATTGTTTATGGTATTGGTGACAAATGTGGCCTTAGTAAGTTTAAGTGTATCAGTTATTAATGTAAATTTGATATTTCTTTTTTTAATTTTAGCACCGAATCTAGTTATTGGTTCATTGTATCGAAACTTTGGCGAACCTATCAGAATATTATGGAAGGGTAGTACACCTTGTAATACGGTTCATGTTGAAGATGTTTGTAGAGCTATTTGGCATTTATTAAAATTACCAAATGCTAATAGAGAAGTCTATAATATTGTTGATGATGGAAATACTACACAGGCAACAATTGCTGATATTGTTTCATTAATATTCGGAATTAAGCATGAGTTTTTAGGCACTCTTATTTCCTCATTATGTCAAGTATATATGTTAACTTTAATATTGACAATATTTATCTTATATTAAGAATGTGGCTTATACAATTGTTTTAGAATGATTTAGATAGCATTGCAGTTGAAGCAAATGATAAACATTCCATACCATGGGCCGAAGCTTGTTCAAAATCTGATGTTAATAGTACTCCATTATCACCATTTATACAAAAAGATCATTTAATAGGTTACCGTGTTCATATGAATGGTTCAAAATTAAATAAAACAGGTTTTACTATGAAATATCCTATTATTACAGAAGATCTTTTAAAGGAGGTTTGTTATGATAAAATTGTGTGTAAAATAATGAATTAAATATTATTTTAAATTTGTAGGTTGTTCATGATTTTGTAAAGATGAATTTGTTTCCAAAAACATTATTAGACTAAATATGCTGATGTTACCAATTATTATAATATTTTTTTATTATTGTAAAACAAATTTACTGTGATATGTTTAATTATTTTTATCCTTTTTAATTAATGATAAAAAATATTCATGTAATTATTTCTAATGATTTAGGGTCATTAACTCTTACATTATAAAGATGTTTTAAAAGATTTTACCTTATATTATTAAGCGAATTGGGCCAAAGATTGATGAAAGAAAATAAGTTATTTCATATTTTTATTGTTTTGATTTATAGAATCTAGCAGTATCATATTAAATTCTTGTTGAATAAATTTTGTCTATTAAATATATTAAATAAATTACAAGTATTTTAACCAATATATAAAATATTTTTGATGTTAAAATAGGTGTACACTAATATATTTATCTATATTATAATATGGAATATATATATTTTTTAAAAGAAAAATAGATTTTTTCAATGGGATTATGTGAAAAATGAAAATTTATTTTGCTCCTCATAAAAGTGATTGATATATGTTTTTTTAAATTCTAAACCCTCCATATGCTCTTCTTCTTTTTCCTCACATTTAACCCAATTACTTGGGATCAGCCACCCTTATCCTAAACTTCCACTCAACACGATCTCTCATATCATTCTTCCTCAAATCACATTCAATTACATCCCTCAATCTCTTTTGGCCTTCCTCTACCTTTTCTTCCTACAACATTCATTTCTATAACTGTTCTTACAGCTTCCGATTCTTCTCCTTATAACATGACCTAACTATCAGTCTATTTTCTCTCATCTACGATTGACACTAGACCTATACTCCCTCTTATATATTCGTTCTTTATCCTATATTCTCTAGTCACTCCACTAGTCCATTTAAGCATTCTCATCCCTGTTACACTCGTTCTCTGCTCTACTTTCTTGTCAACCACCCTACACTGTACAATACATTATAGCTTGTCTCGCTACAATTTTATAGAATTTAGTCTTAAAATGAAAAAGTTCTTATATTTTTTGGATTTTAAGAAAAGTATTGGCAAAAATAAATATAATTAATAATTTTCCCCTATTTTTAGTGTGGAATTTACTATCTGACAATACTTAATTTTTATCTCGTCATGAGTTTTATATTTCTTACTTTTTAATAAAAAATATGTTTTGCAAATTTTTTTTTTTATTTTTCATGTTTTCAAAAGTTAAAAAATACAACTATATAAATATATAAATTTTTGCAATTGAATTTTGAAATTATATAATTCTTCCAAATTTCCTATTAAATAATATTTCCAAAAGTTCCTCAGATTTGCGCCCATAATGTAAAAAATAAGAAATGTTAAAAATTGCTGTCACAGTTAGATACTTATTTTTTAACTTAACTTTTCAGAATACATAGATAATAATTTATTAATTTATTTTTTTAACAATTAATATATTAAAAGAATAATTATAAATATTAAAAAAAAAAAACTAAACTTTCTATGAAATACACACTCAGATATAGAAATACGTGAAGTACTCCATTTTAATACAGTCCATTACAGCCAGATAAATCATTTGTTTCAATGATAATTCTAATTAGTTGTAATTAAATATTATTGAAATAAAAACATGTGTAACCAGTTAATATATGTTCTAGTAATTACAAAAAGAAATTATACTCGCAACTTTATAATCTGAATTGGTGGATATATATAAAAAACTGAGCATTTGATTAATCAAATTAGTGCTTTTTTTTTATAGTAAAGAACCAAGTTAAAATAATAGTTTTCATAGTACAAACTTAATTATTAACATAAAAAATTCATTATTTTAAAATAAAATGTTTTTTTTTTTTAATTGAATCTAGGAAAGAAGTTAATATTTGAAATAATTATTACACTTTGTAAAATAAACACCATTTTATTAACATATACAATGCTGTTTAATAAAGCATAATACAAAACAGTATATATTAAAAATGTGTTTATCGTTTTCTGTGTAATTGCAAAGTATTCTTGCGTTTCCAACATGCTTTTCTTGATCCACCATTTGTCTGTGAGAATCCATGACCTTTTCCAAGACCTCGGGATTTGCGACCAGCAGATGTTTTTCCACGTAATTCTCTGTGTTTATGCACAGCATTACAAATCCAATTGATTTTTGGGTCTCTACGGATGGCCTAGATATGTAATAAAAATAAAGGTTACATTTGTTTATTGAAGACTAATTTTATTTAAAAATTAGTTGAGATCAGATAGCCTCTATCCTCATCTTATTTAAAATAGGAGTGGTGCATGGCAAATAAAATATCATCATGTCAACTATATTTTATACAATATTAACAACAAACATAAATTTAACTTACTGGATGAGCTGTATCAACAGTGATTACTTCATAGAACTTAAATATAGCATCTTGTCCTACCCAATAAGAATTAAGAACTCGTAATCCACCACAACGACGTCCTACTCTTTCCTAAAAAAAGTATGCTAGTTAATATAAAATTTTATTATTATTAAACAACAAAATGATAAAAAAATTATAATTAACAAGAAAAAATAAATAATTTCAAATAACCAAGGGAACAAACAAGATAATGTCAACATTAAATTTTCAGATATCACACACCATTTATAATTGAAAAAATGTAGTATCAAATTAATAATTAATAAGGTTTCACTTAGTTATAAATAATAATAAATAATTAAGTCACAAGGACTCATGTTTCTAATTTTTTTTTTTTGTAGAATCAATGATATTTTAAAAATGAATCAGTATAATATATAACAAATTGATATATTCAACGATAATTATAATAAATAACTGGGTAAATTTAAAATTATTTTTTATAAAATATTTGTATATTAAAAGAATTTCAGATAGCCAAGGGAACAATATTGTATGATTGTCCACAAATTATTTCAGAATTTATCTACAAAACACAATCTATCATCATCAATTCAAATATTTAAATATTTAAAATATTAACAATTCAGATAGCCAAGGGAACAATATTGTATGATTGTCCACAAATTATTTCGGAATTTATTTAAAAAACACAATTTATCATCATGAAAGTTAATTATATATTGTTCTATTGATTTAATAATATTAAAATAATAAAAAATGCTTATAGTTATTGTAATATTAAAATAGATCATTAGAACTAAGAAAGATTTAGTAATAATAAAAACTATTAATCATTGAAATATTTATTAAATTAAAACATTAATTTTATCAGCTATAAAATGTATCTTATTATTGAGCTAGAAGTGGTACAATCAGTTAATATATACCTGTCCTCATCTATGAAATAAGGAGTGGTGCATGGTACATAGTCATCATGAAAATGTTCAATATAATTTACTACTGGAAACTAATTTTTTCAGACATCCAAGGAAGATTAAACCATCACAGAATATTATCAGTATTTATTTTACTAGATAGTCATCACAAAAAATAGTCTCTTAACAATTAAATCAGATAATATATACCTGTCCTCATATATAAAATAAGGAGTGGTGCATGGTACATAGTCATCACACAATTATTTTAAATGATTTCTTTCTATAATTTCAAGTATTCAGACATCCAAGGAAGATTAGTACTTCATAAAATATTATCAGTATTTATTTTATACATATTTGTCATCATTAATAACTTATTACTATTATTTAAAAGATTAAATCAGATTTCCTAGATATATTTCCTCATCTATATAGTAAGGAGTGGTGCATGGTACATAATCATCATATAAATCTCATTAATATTAATTAATATTAACTGTGTTTTTATGTATTTGAAGTTCTTTATAATTTAAAAATGAAAATTAAATAAATAACTTCTTAATAATTGTTAATTCTAACTATTATTATTGAAAATATATTATTTAATAATCTTATTAACTTTACTTAAACTATTTATGACTATTAAAATGAATAATCAATCATTTATCAATAATAATTTAACTTTTACATCTATTTCACTTATTTCATATCAGAAAATCTAGTTAATTTTCCTCATGTATAATAAGGAGTGGTGCATGGTACATATTCATCATTTTGAAAGAAAATAAATAAAAATTAGTAAAATGGAATTTTATTTTAACTACCTTAAGATATCTAACATTGACTGACATCTATAATCTAGGCAAAAATTTCTACAAAATGTATCAGTTAGGTTTTCTCTATCATTTGATACCATTTAAAATAATACTGTCATAACTGTAATACCATGATATGAATTTTTCATATTACTGGTGTAACAGTAATGTTTGTCAATGTATTAATGCTACTAATGCGGCTAATAATAATAGAACACTTACCTCAGCAATTGATTGAAGACATCGTTTAGGTTTCAGTTCATTAACTCCATGGCTTTTGGGTTTGCCATAAGTAGCACCTTTGGGTACCGGACGTTTACGTCCACCACGCCTCACACGAACTCTAAATATAGAAAATCCTGTTTTCAAAAATAAGGGTATTATTAAAATATACAATTAATAAAATAATAAGATGTGTAACCTTGTTTAGCCTTGTAGCCTAAACGCCTAGCTTTATCAGGTCTAGTTGGACGTGGAGCACGATGGACACGGGTCATTTGTCTGTACTGCCATACTCGGACACGGAGTAAATAGCGTAATACATCACTTTGCTTTTTTCTGTACACCTCCTGTACATACTTATAACCACCCATCTCACTAAAAACGACCTAATCCTGTAGAGAAAAAACATAACCTCAAATAATAATGAGACTAATTATACTATAAATTAGTCAATTAGGTTCAAAGATAAATATATAATTAACTAAAAGCAATATGAAACGTTAGTCAATTAATTTCAAAATAATACAAGTACATAGGTTAAATATAAAAAACGTGCAATTTTAAAAGCGGCATTACGTTTAAAATATTTAAAATAGATTCATTTAGAATTATATAATTGTAGTTAATCATGAAAATTTATAATACATACACAAAATATTTATTCTATTATTTGAAAAAATAACTTTAACTCCACTTACCTAATTCTAAAAAATTGAATCACGTGAAAACTACTTGAAAAGGAACAGGATTTATTTTCCGTTCCACAAGTCACAACAGCCAGAATGAAATGTGGATTTTGGACGCATCCAACGGTGCCAAATTTCGAATATTTGAGGTTAGCCACATAAATTATGTTTTAAAACATTTTCAATCAGATTAAATAAAAAAAACGTGTTAAATATAAAATAATTCAAAGGAAATATTTATTTAGAATAATAATTTTCATTTTCAATTTTTTTTTTATTTTATAATTGTTGGCAACGTAGAATAATTAAGTCTTTTTGAGGTTATGTAGTTTTAGTTGGATAATGATAAGTTAACAAAATTTCAATTCATAACTCTTATTTTGTTCTAATACTATTCTGTCATTTCTTGTGAAATTGTTAGCTATTTCAGCTTATAAGTTATTAATTTAGTAAAATTTGTATAATACTTTTGATTAATCATGGCTATGTTAACATTGAGTGGGCTCTCAGAGGATTCAATGTTCAAAAGCAAGTGCGAACAAGAAGAAAAAGAAGCATTTGATACATTTCAAAATAATAACACTGTAGATCAAATGAATCTTTACACCATACCGGGAAATGTAAGTAACATAGATTATCATAGCCAAGAAGTATTGACAAACATTTGTATTTATTTTAAAGGATTCGGGGTAGTTAGAGGTAAAAAATGAGAATTTAAATTAGTCTTTTTAACAGTTAGATTTATTTTGTAAAACAAATAAAGCAGTTATTATATCATGTTTGTTTTAGACAAAGTTATGGCGGCTATGATTGTTAGACTCTCTCTCAAGAGTCATGATTTTCAGTTACCATTATAATATTTTACTGATTCATGTAAATAATTCAATAAAAATAATCATGTGTTTTATAATCTAATATCTGATCAAAAATATTTTTTTTGAAAAATAAACCATATGGAAGCCTCTGATAATTTATTTTCATATTTTTAAGAGAAATAATACTAATTTATTGTTCATGAAAATTATAATTTTGAATAAACACAAAAAACGCTCTTTAGGTACTAGTTTTTTATGCATTCAATAAGTTAAATAAGTTCTATACAAATCCATTGAGTGGTTTTTGAATTACACTTGTCATAAGGTTTTTGAAAAAGGGTCCTATAAATATAGCCATTACTTTGTCTGCAATAATTTTTTTTTTGTCTTATATAGTTAAAACATAATATGACTTTCTTTTATTTATTTTTTAACTAATTAAACTACTGTAAAAAAAAATGTTTAAAATACACATATTTTTAGTCCTTTAACTACCTCTAACCTTTAATGTTTCATTTTATAGAAAAAATTTAAGGACTCTAGTTGTATGTTATTAAACAACCTATTAGAGGAAGTAGAAAAATATAAAAAAGATCCACATAATTATCTAAAAAAAATTTTTTTGATATTTATAAAAGGTGCAGGTGTTACCAAGTATTTTATGCTGTCCTGCTATTTTTAGTACTAAAACTACAAAATTAAACTATTTTTGATTTAAAAAAAGATACAACTATCAAAAATTATAAAAGTAATGTGAACAAAAAACTATATTACAATTTAGGCCAGTTAACGAAGGAGTAATTTTGGCGAATGACGAAAAAAATTCCCAACCAAATTTTATTTTAAAGTTGAATTAAGACATGTATGACATACTAAAATTCTTCATCGATTGGAGTTGATTTTTTTTTTTTACAGTCTTGCAAAAGTTCAAAAATATAAGCTTTTTTATTTTCTCAAAAAATATTTATCTTACAAATAAGTTTCGTACAAAAGTTGCTTAAAAAGAAATTTTAAACAAAAAAGGTTTATTCTATTTTTTAATTTAAACAAATATTTTTCGAGTTACATTACATTTAATATGAGTACTAAAATTTATTTTGCATTAGACACAATGTTACAAATACATATGTGTTTATTTAAAGTATCATTATAGTGTAGTGTATATTAATATACAACAGATAGAGTAGGTAATTGATTTGACGCTATATTTTTTAAACCCAACCAAACGCTAAATTGTACATTCCCAAATAACAATTATAACTTTTTTACAAAAAATTAACTTTTGAAAGTGTTCCAGAAATACTGAAACTTTTATATATATCTTAAATTAAAGCTAATGTAATATATTTTATTATGAAAAAAAAAAATTTCAAACTTTATTTTGTTTTCATGGTGAAAACGGGCATTAAAGTTAATAAAAAAACACAATTTTTGTAAAAAATTATTTTTTATATTTTTAACTTTTTAATGCTATAACTTTTTGAAAAATGTATTGACTAATACAATTTTTTTATGATAAATACTATTTATATACTTCTTTTATTTAATTTACTTTTTTTTAAATCTAACCATTTCTCATAATATATTACACTTATAAATCATAAAACTTGTAAGTCGGATATAAATAAGGAAATAGGAGATCATGTTGCTTTTGGAATAATCCATTAATTTTTTTAAATTAAACACTACAGATTTGCATCGAAGCTTTTTTATGATAGTGATTTAAACCACTGTCAGGTATCATCTATACTGGACCCAACTATACCACGTCCCCATTGTGCTGTGTTTTTTTTTCTAGTTTAAATCATATAGACAGTAAACATTTGACTGAAAAATTATATGCAATAATCTGAATATGTTGGTACTAGTCTTAAATTGTATTATAGAATGAAGTTAATTATTAATTTTACATTAAAACCAACTCCTTAGAAGAGTAATGAAATCACAGAAAATAGTAAAGATTTTTGAAAAAAAAATTCTGAATTTCCCTCAATCTTCTTTTAAATCATAAAACTATATATTCAAGGTATTTCAAGTCTAAAAAAAGTAGTTATTTTGTTAATCCTATTTAAATATATTAAATTAAAAATTAATTTTATTTTTAGCCTGTTAAAAATTTACAAATTATCACAGCTCGTGATACTATGGGTCGTCCAGTAAAACTAAACTTTCATCATGGTACTACTACACTCGGATTCATGTATCAAGGAGGCATTATTTTAGCTGCAGATTCACGAGCTACTGGAGGTCAATATATTGGATCACAATGTATGAAGAAAATTATTGAACTGAATGATTACATGTTGGGAACATTAGCTGGTGGAGCTGCCGATTGTGTCTATTGGGATCGTGTTCTTTCTAAGCAATGCAGATTGCATGAATTAAGAAATAAAGAGCGCATTAGTGTTACAGCAGCTTCTAAAATTATGTCTAATATGATTTACTATTATAAAGGATATGGGCTTTCAATTGGAATGATGCTAGCTGGATATGATAAAAATGTTTGTTAAAAAATATATATTCTTGGATGAAATTTATTATTGGTGGTTATATTAAAACACTAACTATAATTTTTCCCTTGTTATAATAGGGTCCATCATTATTTTATGTTGATAATGATGGTTCTAGAACACCAGGTAAAGTATTTTCTGTTGGTTCAGGATCAATTTATGCTTTTGGTGTACTTGATTCTGGTTATAAATGGGATTTAACTGATGATGAAGCTCAAAAGCTTGGTCAGAGAGCTATTTTCCATGCTACTCACAGAGATGCTTACAGTGGTGGAATTGTTCGAGGTATTTCTTGGATTAAAAATTATAAACTTAATATTATAAAATTCTTTTTTGATTTTTTTTTTTTTTTAGTGTATCATATTAATAAAGATGGATGGAAACATATTAAAAATGAAGACTGTGATGAGATATATGACAGATTAAAAAATGAACCAAAATAAATATTAAGTAGTTTTTTCATTTTTTTTTTTTTTTTAAACCTTATATTTCTTATTTTATATAATCATAATTTAATGTGAAATAAATAATAATAATATGAAATCTATGCTAATAAATTTTGTTTATTGTAAAATAGTGTATTATTATTATAAAATTAAATTCAATACACAATATTGATTTATTGGTGAAAGATAAACTGAATTATATTAAAAATTAACTTGATATTAAATTATTTTTCAATACTTTTTATTATTTGAAGTATGGGTATCATAATAATTTTTTGCATGCTTTGTTTCTATTTAAAATAAAACAACATGCATACCTTTAAATAAATAAGCTGTACATTTTTATTTATAAGTGTTATTTGTTTATGTCTGTATTATATTATAGTATTTTTAATAGTTTGCAAAATATATGTTGAATTATCTTGGTTTAACAATTATCTGGAAAAGATATCTAAACAATATTTTAAACTAAGTATATTTTAAATGAGTTGTATATCATCCGTGATTTATGAACCACTCGTTTAATAATAAAATGATAACTTTGAGAATTTTATTTTTTATATTTTTTCAGTAATATATAATTCTTGATTTTTATCCTCTATTAAATATTTTGTTGGTTCATCTCTTATACGTTATAGGGTTTTCAATTTTTTTTTTTAATTTAATACGTTTGATTTTTTTTTATATAAATGAACTTTGTTTATTTATTTAATATAATAATTTATAAGTTTCAAATCTTTGAATTATTCTTTGTATAGTTATAGGTATATACTGTTAATTGGTAAACTGATAATTAACAATAACTATTGCGTACCATTAAATGGCCTGATTATTAGGGTTCGTCAACGATATCCATATCAAACCAAATTTCAGGGATATTATATTGCAATAACTAAAAACAAAATTAAATTTATTAATTAAATGTTTTTACTAATTTTTTTATTTTTAAGAATACCGCTACCATTTTGTAAAAATTAGACTATAGTATACTAATCAAATCAGATGATATTAATATCAAAAAAAATATAGATAATATAGCTTTATCTCTTAACAATTATCAAATATATTTTCAAATTAATTTTTATTATCAATAAGTAAGTTTTTCTTTTGTTACAAGGCTATCTATATGTATATATTGGTTATATTCAATGGATGAATTTGTTTTTTATTGAATAATAGTATTATAGTTTCAGTTTTTGGTTTTCACTAATAATAATGATAAATAAAAGGTTATAAGTACTGTTTGTATTTTTATTATTTTATCATTATTGAAAACAATATTTCTTCTTTTCAAAAAACAACAATGATATATTAATAAAAAGCATTATCTAAGAGAAGAATTTTGTGTCATTTTTCGTCAAATCTAAATTCTATATTTGTTAATATATTTTCTTCTTTTTCCTGGCTTTAATCTATTGGGGTCAGCTACCCTTATTCTAAACTTCCACTTAACACGATCTCGCATATCATTCTTCCACAAATCACATTCAATTACATCCCTCAATCTCTTTTGCCCTTCCTCTACCTTTTTTTCCTACAACATTAATTTCTAAAACTGTTCTTACAGCTTCCGATTCTTCTCTCCTCATAACATCCAAGTCTATTTTCTCTCATCTACGATTGACACTACACCTATATTTCCTCTTATATATTCGTTCTTTATCCTATATTCTCTAGTCACTCCACTCATCCATCTATGCATTCTCATCCCTGTTACACTCGTTCTTTGCTCTATTTTCTTGTCAACCGCCCCACACTCAGTACAATACATCATGGCTGGTTTTGCTACAGGCTTACAGAATTTACCTTTCAGCTTCATTGGAATTCTTTTATACCGTAACACACCAGACGCTTCTCACCACTTAAACCATCCGCACTTAATCCTGTATCTTGCATCCTCGTGAATACCACTCTTTTATACAACTGATCCTAAATACTTTCCACCTTTTCTATCACGTCCTGGCCTATTGTCACTGATATTCTCATTTCACCTAACTCGTACTCACATTTGTCAAACTTGTACTCTATACTCTGTCTTATTCCTACTTATTTTTAAACCCTTTTCTTCAAGAGCTGATCACCTCACCTCTAGCTTTTGATTAATTTCCTCCCTATTTTCTCCTATTAACACTATATCGTCAGCAGACAATATACACCACGGCACCTCTCCTTGTTTCTCTAGTAATTTCATCCGTCATTATAGAAAATAAGTAAGGGCTTAAAGCAGAACTTTGGTGCACTCCTACTCTATAACCTTTTGTTACTCCTTTTACGCTTTTTACCCTGGTAAAAGTGCCATCATATATATACATTATTATATTAATGTACCTTTTTGGAACTGCTTTACTCATTAATGTCCACTTTAAAACCTCTATCAGTACTCTCATACGTTTTTTTCCAAATCTATAAATATCATACACAGCTTTTTAACCTTTTCCCTATACTTTTCTATTAGTTGTCTTACACAAAATAGTGGCTCCATTATTGACTTACCAGGCATAAATCCAAACTAGTTGTTAGATACCGGTGTCTCATTTCTTATTGTATTATTTATTACTTTTTACCAAATCATCAAACTATGTCTTATAAGCTTTATGCATCGATTATTTCCACAATCCTACATGTCTCCTGTACCTTTAAATATTGGTACCACAATACTATTCCTCCATTCTTTTGGAATTTTTCCTTCTAATAGGATTTCATTAAAAAGATACTTCAACCACCTTATGGCAACACCGCACCCCTTTCGTCTAAAAAAAAAATTACAATAACTCATTACACTAACCTATAAGTTATAAATAAAAAATAAATAAATAATAATAATCTTTTATATAGCTATATTTTAAAAATTCTCAGCTTCGCATCGAAGCTAAAATGACAGTTATATTAAATTTATATCATCGTTAGACAACGGTAACAAAGCTTAATCAAAGTTTAGTTCGTGGTAAGCAACAGATACAATTTTCTATAATTCAATGCATTACTGACAGTATTGTGGTGGTTCGTACTTGTTGGATTACTGTTCCTTTCAATCCAATGGGTTTAAAAAGGTTGTTATTGGGTAAGAGTTCTTTTCCTTTAGGGATTTGAATTTCCATCTCATGATAATTCTAAAGGGACTAAAATCGGTCACCAAGCTGGCAAACGTAGGTGACCCAAAAATTTATTCTAATTAATTATTACTTATACTAGCGATGTTCATTATTCACAAGAATGTCGACGATTTTGATAATGATAATATACTGACTTGGTAAATGTTACATATTTTTTTTGGATTGAATCCAAATATAAATCTTTGTTCCTTACTTATAATATTCATTATTAGTCGTAACTGTTTAATAAAAAAAAAAAAAGATTTCGTAAGATATAATCATATAGATGATATCTAACAGTGATTAAAATCACTATCATAAAAAACGCTTCGATGCAAATCTGTAGATAGTGTTTAATTTAAAAAAAAAATTTGTCAAAAAAGTAGGTCAAATGGGAAATGAGAAAATAAATGATAGCTACAAAAAAAAACCCACATAGTAAAATAATATTAATATGAATTTATCCTCACGAGAGGAGACTACAGTAATAGAATCCTTGATATTTATTGAAGTTATTGAATCTAAATGAGATAAAAATCAAATGAGTTAAACATTTTTTTTATAATTAAAAAAGAATTAAAAAAAAATTCAGTGACACAGTCGTGAAAGACCCAAGTGTTACCGTCTCAAAAACCGTACGTCTCATTCGTCACTTAATAAAAATGGAAATTTAGCTAGTTCAAATTTTAAAGTTATTTTTCTCGACTTCAAAGAAATAAAAAAATTTAAATATGATTAATTTTTTATACTATGTCATTTAGATTGATATAATATTTATGAAAATCAGTGTAATCCCCTTATAATAAAATAAAATACAAAACCAAGAATTTTAACACAATAATAGCATATTTTTAAATACGGTAGCTATTTTCACCATGTATTCTCCTGATAAGATATTTTAAAATAAAATAAAATACAAAACCTAGAATTGAATAGAAAATAGCATATTTTTGAATACGGTAGCCATTTGCGCATAAAAAAAAGATCGTCGGGATAAATTATTTTTTTCATTTTATAGTACATAAAATAAGCTTTAATTTAATATATGTTTAAAGGACGCAGTATTTCCGGAACATTTTCAAAAATTAATTTGAAAAAGTTAGTTTTTGTAAAAAAGTTGCTATTTTAAATACCCCCCAATGAGCAGGTTAAGGTTAAGCAGGTGTTAGATTTTCAAAAAAATGATATCAAATAAAAGGGAAATATCTAAGGTTTTAGTATAAAAAAAAATTATGTTGATTTGTTTATTTTTGAAAAAGTTATGGAAATTTTAAGAAAAAAAAAGACAAAATGTACCGATTTTTAAATTTGTAATTTTTTTGGAGATTTCCCCCATTTGCGGGGAACGAGGGAAATTTTTTCAATTTTTAAGTGTAATGTCTTCAACTAGATACGATTTGTGATCTTTTGACGTATTATGGAAAGAAATCGGTCCAGTGAGAGCTGAGAAAAAGTGGCAACAGACATAAAAAAAAAACACATTATGGTAAAATTAATACCTTCTTAGCTTCACATCGAAGCTAAAATAATAACAGTAAAAATAACAATAATAAAAATATAATTCATTTGATGGAATATATTTTTTTTATTAATGACTAGCTATTTAATTTTTGTTAGTTGAATTCAATTCATTTATTAAAAATATTATGTGAATAAAAAAATTGCCGCAGTTGAAAATTAAGTTCAAGAAATGCAGAGGTAACCTTGACTTTATTTTTTATGTCAATGTCAATTTGTAAAATATTAACTTTTTTCAGACTAGAAAAGAAAAAAAGATAGTCATTAAAATTAAGATTCTAATTCTTTTTCTGTGTTGACCACGAACATGGTTTTGAAAGCCCTAAAAAATAATTACAATGTTTATGAAGATAGAATATGTAATTTTAGACTTTTATGTACAATTATTACAAATTAAATAACTATAAGATATTCGTCTTTTAAATTTTTATCAAAATGAAGATAGCTTATTCACTTGAAAGTTTTATAAAATAATCATTTATACGTGTTATTCGCCAATTTTGTTTATCAAATGAAAA